GAGGTTGTGGAGTCTCCTTCTCTGGAGATCTTCAAAACCCGCTTGGATGCAGTCCTGTGCCACGTGCTCTAGGTGACCCTGCGTGTGCAGGGGGTTGGACTGGATGATCTCTAGAGGTCCCTTCCAACCTTAACCATTCTATGACATGAGAGTAGCTTCAAGTACCCTGTTAGTATCTTTGAGATAGACAGGAAATCTCCAAGATCATAGATTATCTGATGCAGTTTCATGTTCTGGTTATTAATATTCTAAACTTTTTGCTCTAGAATGAGAATAGTGATGCTTCTTTGAAAAATTTGGAAAATATATTAATTAGATCATGAATTTTTAAAAACAGATCACCAAACTTCTGAAATTGAGCTACCTATAAAAATAACTGTCTATAAACTGTCTATAAAAATAACCTTAGTTATTTTTCCTGCACCTTAAATATAGTTGGAAACACTCCTATTGCTAGGACCACAGATAATAGACTAGCCAGCCATAACATGGGAGCTCTTTGTACTAGAGTATTATATATACATATATATATATACATTCTTACTGGCATAAGTTCTCTTCCATGAAGCACAGATGAATAGATGTTAGCATTGGCACAAAGCAGGTGCTAATATTTACTGCTTGTTGTATATTTTCAGTTATATATAATATTATCATTAAGAGAACTAGTTTAAGATGGAGGACTATAGAGTGTGAATAACAAAAAAATATTAGCGAAATGGGGAAAGTGTAGAAAATTGGGTGTGAGTAGAATTTATCTGTTTACAAGGTTGTCTTAGAGTGGAACTCTGTGAGGCAAGTATGAAAGTGTGAGATGATAGGCAAATTAATAATTTTCCATGTAGACCTTAAATCCATCATATAAAAGGCTACAAAACATAGAAGTCTTGCCTTACTGAAACTGAAACTATTACAGCTCACTTACAGCTTAGCTGAAAAGTATTGTTATGCTGTGAAGTTACCCTTGCCCACTGTGTTTGGAGAGCACAGAAGAATTATTGTAGCCATTAAAAAAAAGTGATTGGATTGATAAATACAGCTTGGTTATTCTGAGGATTTCAAACTCATGTTATATATGCGATAATTTCTTAGTATAATTTGCTTGTGATTACCAAAAGCTGGCTTTTGTAAGTGTGCCAATAATTTGTGGCATATTGGTCCCTACTTAAACATTAAGTGACAACATTAGTTCTTAATTTCACTATTAATTTGTTCTTGTAAATGTTCGAAAGGATACAGAGAAGGGGAATAGTATCCTTGCATATATTTATACAGAAAGAAATGAGCTTATGCTCTGCATTCTGATACCAACTATAGATGCCGAATATCATTTGATGTATTTCTATATTGCAAGGCTTAAGCTTCTGTAGAATAGCATAATCACTCTATTGAAAGCATTCTTTTTGCTGCTTTTCTCCAGTTCTACATCAAACACTGAATTAAGTAATTTGCAAGATCCTGTTTCTGCAAAACGTTTTCGACAAGACATCTTGTTAAGCCATAGAGCTTTGAGGGTACCCAAAATAGCAGGTGAGTGTCAAAACTAGTGAATGACACTGTGTATAGGAGGTCTGTGATTAAGGTTGAACAACTGAACAATTTTTGTCAGTTTAATGGTATGTGTAGCTGTGATCAGTACATTGTCATAGGTTTCCATAGTTCATTCATTTAAAAAAAACAAAAAAACAAAAAAAAACCACTAGTTACTGAGTTGTGATTACTGTTGATCTGAATGTTTCAAGCCTGTCAAAACTTCATCCTAAGAGTGAAAGATTTACTTCTAAAAATTGTTTGTACTTTTTGGGGAGTTGGAAAAGTGTTATAAATTTTATCTTTGGTTTTCAATTTTGTTTAACAAAATCAGTTGCCATATCCATATTATTAAGAAACTCCTAATAAAGCACCAAATTCTGAAATAGAAAATAGGTTTTTGCTTTTCAAATTTCAGGTTTGAATTATAGAATGCTTCCTGTCTTCAAAAAGTCTATGTTACAAGAGAAAAATGAAATATGGCCAAATTACTAATGGGATACCTATTTGCAAATTGAATAGAAAAACTTCAAATGATGTAATTTTAGTTTTACTGTATTATGTGCCAAAAAAATAAAATGTTTACAGATTTATACACTTTTATGTAGGCCACTCCATTCTACAATCTTGCATGTCAGTTGAGAGTCACATCAATAGACCTGCCAGGAAACTAACACATGAGATTACTGAGCTGAGAATGTTTGCATCTTTTCATATCAAAATCTAACTTTCATTAGAGTCAAGAAAGATCTAGAAAAATCCTCAGACTTTCTCTGAAAAGAAGATCCGGGTGTACCATATCCTGCTTATATTTACTGAATCAATGTCTCAATTGTTTTTTCTTGATTAGGAACTAAAACAGGAAAACAGAAGCAAGAACAGAATGTGCCAGGCAACCTTGTTCGAAGCTTTTCAGAAGGCAATGTAGCAATGCGTGTTAAATCAAGGACTTCAAAAAACCTTTTACTTCATGTTTGTAGGAAGAAAAATAGGATTTAGTTCTTAGTTCATCCATATTTCAAGCAGGACTGACAGTAAGTGGGAACAGGGTGACTTTGCTTTTCACCCTCCCCCTCCTTTTGAAGTATTTGTTGTTGAAAATGCCTATCAACTTCTGTCTTCTTCGGTAATGCACTGGTCCAGAAGGACTCTTCATGGAGATATGAGGTTTTCATTAAATTCTAAAACATTCTTTTTGTCTCCTATTAGAGTTTAAATATCGTTAGTATAGTAACAATTGTGTAAGAAATTTCCTTTGGACTTGGTAGTAGAGAAGCACACAGTGCATCATTCTCCGTATTCTTCATGAGCTTTCTCCCTGTGTATATAAAACAACAGATCAAAACCTTGCTTTTTCTGAAGTGTTCAGGGAAGGAATGGTGCTACAACTTTGTTTTGCTTTTGTTTTAGAAATTGTTCTAATGTGCTTATCTGTGTTTCATCTTAATTTTATAACAATTTTATGGTAGAAAAGTTCAAAACGTTTTTTACCAGTCAAATAGTTTTCACTGAAATTTTGTAAAGTTCAGGTTTTTCTTCTGGAAATCCAACATGTTTAATGTATTTAAAATTCATTCATACTGAGTACTAGGATGCCAGTTAATTCTTAGATATCAGTGTTAATGTGGACAAGAAGCTTAAATACGTACTACATCTAAAACTTTAGCATTTGCGTATTTACTCTGATAATTTAACTTAGTTGTAAATATTCTTTCTTTGTATTTTGTGGGGATTTTTCAGTAATTCAGCTGTAAATAGAATAATCATGTTAATTACTTTGAATAAATTTTTAGCAGTTGTAAATAATAATATAGTATGAATTAAACTTCTAGAAAAAACTACTCTTTTTTTTTTTTTTTTTTACTGTCAAAATTAATCCTGTCATTTCTCTCAAGCATTATCACAGCACCTCATAGTTCATATTGTATCTCTTTGATAAATGGCTAATACTCCAAGGTGGTCATTGCTATATAGTAATATTGTAGCCCTGACAGTCTCTCTGCTTTTAGGAACATGATTATAGTGTATTTGGTCTATACAAATGAACACACGTGAAACAAAATACATGCATGAAATTCCCTAATCCAAGGAATACTAGAGAAGACTGTGTGTCTCCATTCCAGTGGAGACTACCATCTGTCTGGAGCAAACAACAACACGATGGATGCTGAAGAATATTCTGGCTTCCAGCAATAGTAATGGGCTCAGGAGAGTTCCCACAAGATTTCCTAGATGTTCCTAGAATTTTATCACATGTGTCCTATGACAGCAGATGCCTGGACGCAACAGTCTAAGAGCTTTTACAAATTTCATCCAAAAATATGTTTTCAACTATCTCCAAATATATTACAATTTTGTAAGTATGCTTAAACTTTGTTCTTATAGTCTTTTCTTTGATACTTAGACAAGGAAACATAAGTCTTCTAACTTATCGCATCTCCTTCTAGTAGTTATACATTAACATATTTGTTCCTCATATTCATGACTTTGAGGGGCATTTTCAGAGGACTTCTGAGGCAGGAAATAGTTACTACCTGTATGAATCCTTTTTTAATTTTTTTCCCCTCCCTCTTAAGACAGTGTCTCATGCAACTGAGGGAGAAGCAGTTTTGCAGAGGCTGCTGTTACAGAACTTGATAGAGGAACGAGTGATTTCTTGAGAAATAGATACTGTTGTGGAAATATGATGATGAGAAAATGGAATCCTCTGTGCTTTCTAAAGGGAGTAGAGCTCATGAAGGCATTGTGGTGTACAAGGGGTCAAGCAGAGGGTATGATGTAGTTCAGGAATATATCAACTGTGGAAAAGAATTACAAACGATGTCCAAAATAGCAAAGAATTGCAGGAAAATGGAATTCTGGGCTTGATAGCACCCAGGCCAGATGATGTCAGAAACTGAAGTAGAATGAAGGAGGAAAAAATGATTTGAAGTTTGTGCTATCATGAAAAGCAATAAGATTTTTGGTTTGAATTATAGTTTCTTATGATTTTGACACCAGGTATAATTAACGCTATAGAGAGCAATATGTTTTTAATCTGTGGGGTTTCTTAAGAATTCTTGGTGTTTGATGTAAAATGTGCATGAGGAGTTTATTTTAGTCATAGTGCTTCACAACTGCAAGAATACATGCTGAGCTTTGCTTATAAATATAGTTAGAATCCTCCTGTGGTGTCTAAGGCTCAAAATACATATAAATATTCCCAGCAATTTTGAAAGCTTTTTTTGACATTTGTGCATGTAATGTTTTGATCCTAAATCCAGACAGAACTGTAAGCATTTTTTCTCTTAATGTATTTTGCTTACCTGTCAGAGGAACTCATTTGATTGACTCGGGATATTTCCAGGCACTAAAAAAATATCCTACGAAAATAAGCACGGAGAGATGACTTCAATCCCTGCTATCTGTTTTCCACCTGTGTTAGTTACTAGCTGTTGATCACAAAGTAGATATTTTATTGAGGTTTATAATAAGCATAGAAAAGCTATTCCTATTATATCAGATTTCTATTTTTATTTCAAATTTCAGATGGCAGTTGATTAATATTCTGCCTTTTTTTTTTTTAAGTGTGGATTTGTAATGTTGTATACCATGAAGGGGTCTTTCAGATGCTGTAAGCAGAAGGTGCTTCAGAGCCTATTCTACATGTTACTGGTAGGGAATTTTTTAGTGCTTAACAAGTTCTTTTTTGTTATAGTGCCAATTTATTTTTAGGCAGAAAGGAAACACTCTTTGGGAAGTGGAGGAGGTATGATATAACCAATTTCATTTTCTTGCGCATCTGCATTGCCTGTTACCTCTAGTGGCCTAACTTTGCAAACTAAATTAAGTAATAGCTTTTTTAGATGACATTTATGTGAATTATACTTTTAATTGCTTTCCCTCTGCTGTAGCAAGCAGTGTTAAATCATGCCAGATGGGGTGAAACATTATATTGCACAACATAACATGACTCAGGCTGAATCAAGAATTCAAATGATTTGGGTCAATTTAATCGTGTGTGTGTGTGTTAACTTAAAAATATATTTCGTTGAAGATAGTGTTGTGCTCCTTAGATATTTTAGTCTGTGTTGGATACCTAATACTTCACAGGTAACGAGAGATTCATCTTGCTTACTGTGAGATAGATGGTGACTTTTATGTTTGACCATCTACATGGCAATAGAAATACTGGTCTTAGCTCATCTCGCTTTCTCCTTTAATGCAAGTACCTAGTTTATTTAAAACAAAAACCTCAGTCTGAGTCAAAATTTTAGATTAATACTTTATATCTCTGCCTATTTAGTAGAATGTTCAAAATCTGTGTATCATGCACGAAAGTATTATTTACTGTTTTTAAAAGTTCATATTAGATGATTAAGTAGTATAAAGCTACCCGAGAATTTTTTGATAGAAAAGTTCAGTAGACTTTCTTTAGAATATTTAAGTATACTTTGCAAAACATGAGGGTATTAAAAGAGTAAGTATGCATGCCACTGCCATCATATCCCTTCTGTGTGTAGTTTAAATGTGAACAATCTTGTCTCCAAAATGCTCATTTTCGTGTTTGTCTTAAACACTAACATAAACATAGCTCAAGAGGAATATCAAGAATCTGTGTAAAATATTTTTTATTAGAATTGTTATTCGTCGTTCCACGATGCATATATTGCATTTTCAAAGCTGAGGTACTCATTGAGGTTTTTACTTAAACCTTCAGGGTAAAGTTTGTTTAACTTTTTTTCTTTAGCAGTTTGTTTCTAGTTAGTTGCATGGTAATAATTTCAGGCTTTTCCTAACTATCCATTACTATTACAATACTTTTTTTAATGAAAGGGAGAGGAAACATGCACGTTCTTGGACTATCTTGAATTATGCAGCTTTTGCCCAAGTGACAAACTTATATCAAGCCTTAGGATGATAGGATTTTTTGCTAGGGGCCAAAAACTGTTTTATGCCTCCTTCTATATTAGGACAGTACTAGTACATTGTCTTATATACAGGACATTATATATCTATATGGAAAGTGACATCCATGCTGGGAAACCTGCCTAACTGAGTTTTTGAATGTAGGCATATTTATTCAAGACTGAGTTCTGTAGCAGCTAGAATGTGCTTAAAATGTTTATATGATTGTGGGACATATCTACTTAAATCTATGTAAGCACTATAGTAGTCACACAATCTCCTAAAATATTTCTATATGTTGAGGTATGTTGTCCAGGCATATATCAAGCACATTTCATGTTTCAGTATGTCCTTGTTTCTCCTAAAGTGATGGTGATCAACAGGAGCCCTAATGTTTTACCTCTAGCCTCTGTATCTGTTTCTACTACTGCTAAAACAAGCTGAAGGTCTTAATGAATTCTCTCTGAGTCCTGGCCAGGCTTTGAGGACCGCTTTCTATTACTAGCTTTTCAGAAATACTGATATTGGACTCTTAAGTGGTCAGCAATGGGATGGAATTTTCTGAAACTCAATTTCTTGCAAAGGTGAAAGGATGGTAAAAGATCCGGTCCCACTCAGAAAATCTGAGGGGGAGGAAATGCAAAGACTGCTAGATAGTTTGTACTAGGACGTATTTATGGTCATCACAGGAAAGCAAATTTAACGGAGATATCTGAAGCCTAGTGAGATTCTTGTTAAATAGACTTGGAAGTCTATGAACATTTGTTACTGAGAAAGTAGTTGGATAGCAGAGAAAGAAATACACTCAAGAGGGAAAATGGTGTTATCAGGGAGGCTATAGAAACTGCTG